TTTCAACTTGCCGGGTGTACAGATTTTTTTATTTAACCCTAACTTTTGCCTGAACCGCCCTATCGGGTTTTCGATTCACCGGGATGCCCTTTTTTTTGCCCAAGTCGCCCTTTCGGGTTTTCAACTTGTCGGGTCGTTTATGCGTAGTATTTTTTGACTATGTCTACGTTCGCAGGGTGCGGCAGGTCGTCGCCGTCCATGGTTGTCAAGATCATTGCCCTAGCAGAAAAGATGTTTTTGATCACAAATGGTCCTTCGTAGGTAGGAGTCCATTTTCCCCTGGGATCACTTTGTGGCAAGATGATCTGCTTGATTACAAGATCCCCGACTTGATATACCTGGCGTCTGACTTTCTTGTTGAAATCCTTGATCATTCGTTTCTGATACGCCTGACCGTGGCAAACAGCAGTAAGTCGCTTTTCGTCAATCAAGTTAATTTGATCAAGTCGGGTCTGAATCCAATCGTCTTCACTCAAACCATCATCTTTCATGATTCTCAAGGAGGGAATCTGAACCTCGATAGGTAAAACAGCTTCCATGCCGTATACTAAAGAATAGGGTGTTGCCCCAGTTGATGTTCGTGCCGTGGTACGATACCCATGCAGAGCAAACGGTAACATCTCATGCCAGTCCTTGTAGTTGACTATCATCTTTTGTATGATCTTCTTGATATTTTTGTTCGCAACTTCAACAACACCGTTTATCTTTGGCCGATAGGGAGATGAATTGTGATGTTGAATCTGGAACTGCTCACACAGAGCGGTGATCATAGTATTGTTCAGGTTTGTTCTGTTGTCAGTGATAATCCTTTCGGGGATACCCTACCGGCAAATGAGGTTCTGCTTTATGAAGCGGGCAACAACATTCTTTGTGACGGATGCGAAGGAAGATGCTTCGACCCACTTGGTAAAGTAGTCAATGGCCACCAGGATGAAACGGTGTCCATTGGATGTTGTAGGCTTGATCTCTCCAATCATGTCGATTCCCCACATTGCGAATGGCCAAGGAGCTGTTAATACATTGAGAGGAACTGGAGGTATATGTACCTTGTCCGCATAGATTTGACATTTGTGACAAGTACGGGAATGTTGATGGAAGTCAGCTTCCATGGTAGACCAGTAGTAGCCTGCCCGTAGAATCTTCTTAGCCATCGTATGTCTGCTAGAGTGAGTGCCAAAAGTACCATTGTGCAGCTCATCCATGATCTGCTCAGCTTCAACCTTGTCCACACAACGGAGCAGAATGCAATCATGATTACGCTTGTATAGGATACCATTGCTCAGGAATAACTTGGCAGAGAACCTCCTCAAGAACTTTATGTCGTTGACGGAAGCTCCTTCAGGGTATTCTTGAGTCTCGAGATACCTTTTGACGTCATGAATCCAGGGTCGGTCCACTACTTCCTCGGTATTAATCTCGTGACAATGGGCAGGTTCGCCCATTCGTTCAATGGTGATTTGGGGAGCCTCATTATCCCAGTTAAGTTTAAACATGGATGACATTGTAGCTAGAGCATCTGCTAGCTGATTTTCTTCTCGTGGGAAGTGCTCGAAGTTAATCTGCTCGAAATGTGGTAGTAATGTCAAGACATGTTCTTTGTAAGGGATGAGGTTGGGATGTTTAGTATCCCACTCTCCTTTGATTTGACTGATAACCAAAGCTGAGTCCCCAAATACAATTAAAGATTTGATTCCCAAGTCAATAGCAGCCTTGAGACCAAAGATACAAGCTTCATACTTGGCCATGTTGTTGGTACAGCTGAAGCAGAGTCTGGCAGTGAAGGGTGTATGGCAACATTTTGGAGATATTAGTACCGCGCCAATACTGTTGCCAAGTGCATTGGAGGCACCATCAAAGTACAGGGTCCATCGGGATCCTTGTTCAGGTCCGTTATATGGTTTGAAATCTTTAACATTGTCCAATGTCATGATATCCTCGTCGGGGAAGTCGAACCCTATGGATTGGTAATCTTCGACATCTTGATGCGCCAGATGATCGGCTAACACACTTTCCTTTATAGATTTTTGGGTCATGTATTGTATATCGTATTCTGTTAGGATCATCTGCCATCTAGCGATTCTTCCAGATAGAGCAAAGTGGTATGAGTCAACATGTACTGCCTTAGCCGGCGAGCAGCCCATACCAAAGCGCAGCAAGTTTTCTCGAGCAGTGAGTATCGGGTCTCACAGTCAGTAAACTTTTTGCTAAGGTAATAAATGGCATGCTATTTTCGTCCAGACTCGTCATGTTGGCCCAGTACGCACCCCATTGAATTCTCTAGGACGATCAGATACATGATTAGCGACCTTCCTTCGACGGGTGGCATCAAGATAGGAGGTTCTAGAAAATACTCCTTGATTTTATCGAAAGCAACTTGACAGTCATCATTCCATTTAACCACCTGATCTTTCTTCAACAACTTGAAGATTGGTTCACAGGTAGATGTTAGGTGAGAAATGAACCTTGCAATGTAGTTTAGGCGTCCCAAGAAACCTCTGACCTCCTTCTCAGTGCGAGGGGCAGAGATTTCTTGTATAACTTTGACTTTGGCAGGATTGACCTCGATACCCTTGTTACTGACGATGAAACCCAAGAGTTTACCGGACCTGACTCCGAAAGTGCACTTGTTAGGGTTCAGTCTGAGCTTGTACTCCTTCAACCTGACAAACAGCTTTTGCAGATGGTTGAGGTATTCTTCTTCGGTTTGTGAACACGCTATCATGTCGTCTACGTAGACCTCTATCTCATGATGTATCATATCATGAAACAAAGCTACCATGGAGTGTTGATAGGTTGCCCCAACATTCTTCAGTCTGAATGGCGTCACTTTGTAACAGAACGTACCCCACTGTGTAACAAAAGTAGTTTTCTCCATGTCCTCGGGTGCCATTTTGATCTGGTTATAGCCCGAGAATCCATCCATGAAAGAAAATACCTTGTGCTGAGCTGTATTTTCAACCAAGATGTCAATGTGCGGTAGTGGAAAATCATCTTTAGGGCTGGCCCTGTTTAAGTCTTTGTAATCCACGCATATTCTGACTTTGCCGTCCTTCTTTGGCACGGGCACAATGTTAGCAACCCATTATGGATAGGAAGTAACAGCAAGAAATCCAGCATTGAACTGCTTCATAACTTTTGCTTTGATCTTTTCAGAAATGTCGAACCTCATGCGGCGGACTTTCTGTTTAACTGTTGGACAGTCTTCTCTTGTAGGTAGACGGTGAACCACAATATCTATATCAAGTCCCGACATGTCTTCGTATGACCAGGCGAAGATCTCAACATATTCATTCAACAGCTGAATTAAGCGCTCCTTGACACTTGGCTCTAGGTTGGCACCCACTCTAACTTCTTTTCTGTCTTCCTCAGTTCCCAAGTTGATTGTCTCTAACAACTCCTCATGATGTAGAATTGCCCTTTCTTCCTGTTGTAGCAGTCTAGCCAATTCTCCCGACACTTCACAATCTTCATCCCCTTCGTATTCGGCATGGTAGACCAGATCTTCAGAGTCACTGAAAGTCATAGCAGAATTGTTACCCATGGAATCCAGAATGGAAGGGTACCTGCATTTATGAGTGTGGGTGTGTGTAAGGGATAGCCACCTCTAATCAAATAAAATGTAAAAAGAAAGACAATGAACACAAAAGTTTATATGTGAAAACGTCCATGATTCATTAAAATGGCATATGAAGATGAAAAATCAAACCCTTACAAATGGACCTATGTGCCTCGGGTAAGGCACAAGGTTAAAAGTGTACGAATTGTTTAAGAATTATTACAAACCAACAGAAATGTTTGAAAGATAAATTAGTGATTGATGAAAGTAATGGGAATAAAGTCTTTTGCCTCCCAATTGCACAATCCTCCTTCAACGGTAGGGAAAATCCAGTCTTCCAGGTTGCTCCCCTCTTCACTATCCTTCAAAGCATTGACTCCATGATAGGTGATCTTTACTGGTGGCCCTCCAGCCCGGGAGCGACACACAACCTTTTGAGCAGAAGCAGTGAAACCCAAGCCGAATTTATCAGATTTAAAGGGAAAGTCGGGAAGATGCCCCCAGATTATGCTTCCTCCTTCTTCAATCACAGCCTTTGCATCTTTGAGAGACGACATCCGCGAGGGAGGTCTGGTAACCATGGGTACAGAAGACACTGTCTTGGTTGCTGCAATCTCCTGAGCTACCTCTTCAAAATGCTGAAAGGGGGTTTCGATGAATTCACCATCCAATTCTACATAGCGGAAAAAATTAAGATGGTTTATCATGTATTCCTCTTCACCGTGAACAGTTACAATTTTCCCCTGGACAAGGTACTTGAGCTTTTGATGCAGGGTTGAAGTGACGGCTCCAGCATGATGAATCCAAGGTCTTCCCAACAAACAAGAATAGGAGGGACGGATGTCCATGACATAGAATGTGGAGTTGAAGGTTTCAATTCCCACTTTAATCGGGATGTCCACCTCCCCGTGGACCATCCTTTTAGAACCATCAAAGGCTCTGACAATGATGTTGCTGGGCTTCAAAGTTAGACCTTCACAATCCAGCCTATCCAATGCTTTCTTTGATAGGACGTTCAACGATGAACCAGTGTATACCAGAACGTGTGCTAGAGTAGTCCCTCTGCATTCTACCGAGACATGTAAAGTGTCATTATGTTTTCTCCCTTTGATTGTTAGATCAGCATCGGAGAATCCTAAATCGTTGGCTGCTGTTAGGCTAGCTACACATTCCTTTAAGATAAAGATAAGATTTATATTTTTCTTCAACATTTCCTTTTTTGACTTAATTCTTCTTTTTTTATTTATCTTTTATGACTTAATGTTATCTTGTTTGACCATAAAAAGAAATAGTAATAAGAAACAATGACTTAGCATTGCTTTTAATTGTAAAAAAATAGTAAGTTCATGAATATTTTGTTTATATATATTTGTCTTCATTGTTGACATTGCCCAACATTTTAAGAGTGTCATTTGAAAATATAATTTTTTAGCAAAATATCATCATGAAGCTAGGTTGCATTCTTGTATTTGTATGTACTTTTTCCACCTTCCTCAGCCTCACGCTCGGATCAGGTATATATATTACTATTATTATCAGAATTTTCATAAGTCTTATTATCCTTCATTCATACATAAATATTTCAACATGAGAGAGTATATATGCTCTTACAAAATTATTTATGTATAAAATGAATATTGTTGATTTTATCAATTTTGATGTTAATTAAATTGTTTATGTAGCAAGCACAGAAGTGAATCTATCATTTTGTCCGCGTCACTTGGACTTGCCAGGGAAATGTAGCACTTCTCGGAGTTGCGGTCTAGATATGAATGCTGCATTAGGGGCAAGCGCCATGGTTCAAGACTGTATTTGTGAAGATCTTGCCAACAATATGCACCGTTGCACATGTTGCTGCAAATGTCAAATTGTGAAGGATAGAAAGACTCTTTTTCTTGCAAGCATTTTTGTCGATGGTCAACTAAAATGTAATAAAGTCTAAACTTTAATGTTATAATCAATAATTACATCACATTCCAATGTATTAGTTTTTATGTTTTTGGCCTTTACTTTGAATTTTTATTTTCAATATATTTCAAAATATATTTCTTTGGTCAAACATAATTACGAGTTTTATAGAATTTTTAATTCGTTACTCCTAAAATTCAACATGACACCTCTCAATAATACCCTACAAAAAAGTTTTAAAATTTATTTTCGCATTTATTCAAATTTCAAAAAAATATGATAATTTTTTGAAATATTTAAAAAAAATTATCGAATTTTTCGAAGTTCACATTCAAGAAAGAAAATTTACACTATCGAAAATTTTGAAAATTTTGAAAAATTACAAAACATTTTGAAATATCCCATAAACTACAATAATTTTTCATAATATCAAGTAGTGTTTTTTTTTTTAATTTACACAAAAAATTTTAAAATTAACTATTGAAAATTTGATATTGTATAAGAAATTTTGAATAATCAGTTGAAAATTTCGTTTTAACCATATCCAAATTTATTCATAGACAATTTAAGAATTAAGTAAAAGGTGTAAAATTCAATTTAGATTTAACAAGTTAAAACTTCAATTCTATGGTATCTATCTAAAAGCATCAAGGGAGTGCAGTTTTATTTTATTCTGGTTTACTTTGTTTACTCGTTACAATGCATATATGTGTGATATATAGCATAAACAATTCAAATGGTCGTGATTTAAATGGTCATCTAAAATTTAATATAGTTTAATATTTAATATAGTTTAATATTTAATGAAATAATTAATAATTCCATCACATTTAACACTAGTCTCTACTTTCCTATAAAAAGATCTCTATTTGACTATCTATTTTCACGATATTTTTAAATCTGTTTTTTTAATAAACTAGGTGAAGAAAAAAGAGATTAAGCTTTCAATAATAAAATAATATAAAAACGAAAATAGACTAAACTTCAACGAGGATGATGAGAGAAATAAAAACCTTTGAAATAGGATTCAAGGAAGATAGCAAATAATTCGAAGAACAATTCTCAATTTTATCTTAATCTTATATATATATATATATATATATATATATATATATATATATATATATATATATATATATATATATATATATATATATATATATATATATATATATATATATATATATATATATATATATATATATATATATATATATATATATATATATATATATATATATATATATATATATATATATATATATATATATATATATATATATATATATATATATATATATATATATATAAAAGGTTGTCATGATGGAAACCCTAATCAAATATTATTTAGAGAACAACTTTAAACATAGATCTTAAATATTCTTCTAATTAATTTAACTTGATATTAAGAATAATTAATAATAAATAAATATTTTAAAAATAATATAATATTCAGTCACCACTAATAATAATAATAATAATATCCATAATATATAATAATATAATATTTAGCTAATAATATTAATAAAAGAAAATAATAATAATTATATAATATATAACTACCACAACTATAAATAATAATAATAATAATAAAAATATAATATTCAATTATTTCTATTAAAAATTATTACAAAACCTAATATATATATATATATATATATATATATATATATATATATATATATATATATATATATATATATATATATATATATATATATATATATATATATATATATATATATATATATATATATATATATATATATATATATATATATATATATATATATATATATATATATATATATATATATATATATATTCAATTACATTAATAATTTTTAATATAACATCTTTATATTAATAGATCTTAAAAATAACTTACTTTAATATTCTTTTTTATATTATATTTCCTTTAAAACTTTTAGCTAGAAAAATATATATCCCTATAATAAAAATTTTACTTATTTATATGTGGAAAAAAATAAAATATCCTTATAAGACCTTAGCTAGAAAACAATGTCCTTATAAATTTTTTTTCTTATATAACATCCCAAATACTATATATAGATCACTTAAAAGTTAAAATAATATCGATTATATAAATATTTTATATTAGAGAAGAAATAAAAAATATTAATAGTTTTTTTATATGAAAAAAAATTGCAATGATGTTCGCAAGCGTTTGCAATGCGACCTTTGAAATAAATGAAAAAACTTGCTTAATTAAACAAATAAATGTAACAGTTATCTTACACGTTCGACGATTATTATATAATCACGTTTGGAGTTTGTAATAAAACTCCTTCAATGTTAAATGTTTTCGCATTTGAATGGATTATATCCCTTCCATCGACCTGGCTTCAACATCATGAACTTTTCGTTAAGTCTCAAAGGGACTTTTCCTTGGTAACCTGTCGACGCCTCTTATCTAGAAAAACCCTGCCCTTGGTGATGAGCCTTAGCTTTTAATCAATTTCCTTAGTCGAAAATTTATAACTAACAAATTTTCCCCCAAAATGCCAATTTCAACAAAGGTTGTGTTGATTGAGAATTTTGGTATTTTACTTCTTTGTGAATTTTCGATTGCTTGTCTATTCAGCTGGCATCATGTGTCATGATGATCACTTTCTGCGCCACTATTCTCAATTTCATTCCATCATTTCTCATGATGGCTCCTAGTTTCTAGGTCGTGGGTTTTCAAACAACTTCACTACCTCTTCCATTTCTAGATGTGCAACAGTATATCAATAAATGTTCCTTGATACACTTATACTCTCGTGTGATTTGTTTGATCACCAACTCTGAATCGCATTTTATTTCGATTTTGGTCGTTCCCCACAAGACTTATACCCCACAAGACTTTGAGTCCAGTCATTAAGGCTTCATATTCCGCCACGTTATTGGAACATTTTCCATCTACTATACATTTGAACTTTTTTGGCATCCCTTATGGAGAAATGATCAAAACTCTTACACCAGTTCCATACTTATGGCTCAACTCGTTGACATATAATTTCCAAGGGTTCGTGTCTACCATATTTACGGATGACTCGACTTTTGCGTGATGCACAATAAAGTCTGCCATAATTTGGCCTTTCATGGCTTTTAAAGGCAAATAAGACAAAGAAAACTCAGTTAATGCCAACGCCCACTTCCTAATCCAACTATGTAATATGGGCTTAGACACCATATGCTTAATAACATCAAAGTGAGATAAAACCTAAACATAAACTGGCATAATATTTCGCTTTAACTTCGTACATGAGAAGTACAAACACAAGCACAAATTTTCAATTAAAACCTACATGGTTTCTGCATCTATTAATACTCAACTAAGGTAATAGGTAGGTCTTTCAACACTGTTATCATCCTCTTGAGCTAACATTTTCCTATTGTCAATTCAGACGCAGTTATATACAATCTCATGTTTTTGTTTCGACTAGGTGGCAGTAAGATAAGAGGCTTTATCAGATATTCTTTGATTGCCTCGAAAGCCTCTTGCTTCTCTTCTTCCTAGTGGAATTCACTTTCTTTTTTGATCTTGAGCAATAGAGAGAAAACTTTCATTTTTCCACTTAGATTTGATATAAATCATCTCAAGAAATTGATTTTCCCCAACAAAGACTACAATTATTTTTTCGTCAAAGGAGGCTTGAGATCCAATATTTATTTTGTTTTGTTTTTATTAATCACAATGCCTTTTTGAGCACTATGAAGCCTAAGAAGTCTCCTTGTAGTTATGATGAACTTGATTTTGAGTAGTCATTCAATATCTTGTTTGATTTTCAAGGTGATCTCTGGGGCGAATCTCAAAGGATATTGCTTTACCAGCCATTTCCCTTGTTAAATAGTCAGACGATTCTTCACTACACTACGACTCAGTATGGGATTTTCACCATAGTCTCAAACAAAGAAATCTATATATTCTTTCAATAGATTAACCAACTGAATCTTCATTTTCGACCCAACTTTTGTACTGCTGTAATTTGGTTTATTCGTCACGCCATTTCCCAAATCCACTTCTTCTAAAGGATCATGGGCCTGCATTTTCTGCACTGAATACAATGGGTATTTTTTAAACCTCGAAGGCTCATTGTCATAGATACAATCTGTGATGCGGTGGGAGAACTGACTTGAGGTTTTTTGTTTGTGTTCGCAAATGTTTCAGTTTAGCAAGAGTCGCCACCGACTTTTATTTTATCCAAAAGGAAAGGTAAAAAAGCACAAGAAAGACCTTTGAGATTATTTTTGGGTTCGGGGGGTAGATTATGAAAAGGGAAGGTGCTCGAACGCTTTTCATCCATGGTTTTCCATGGGCTCTAAGTTACTTGTTTTAGATCACTTGCTTTTGCTTTTCAATTGTTTGAAATGGTGCTTTTGTGTGTGGTTTTGAAAGTATTTTGAAAATAGGCCTTTGTCTAGGCAACCTTTGTAATGATTCTTGTTTGAATGTATACAAAGGTATTTGTCTTTTGAAAAATGTTTCAATGTTTGAAAGTTTGTTTGGAAAATTGTTTTGAAATTTGTGTTGCGTGTTTGAAAATAGCAAGGATGATTTGCAAGTTTGATCAAGTAACTAGAAGTTGTCTACCCTACTCAAAGATCTTTCCTATACATTTTTAACCCTTTGACATTGTTGTTTTACCATTGTATTTGGGAAACAACCTTGTCTTTGGATGTTAAACGGGACAGGCGAGGGCCGTCGTATGACCATGATAACAATGTTTCCAAGTATCTTAGCAAGTTTTTTTTAGGGACTAGATCATTTGTGTATAGGCAACCAAGATAGCGTCATCGAGGGACTATGATCTTTTGTTTTTGTTTTGTTTTGCCAAGATACGTAGCATGCATACCATGGCCATTTTTAAGGCAACAAGGTGATGAAACCCTAGGGGTGGTTGTGTGCATGGTGTTGTCATTTTTCATGCATTTTTGTCTTATGTTTAGTCAAGCTATTTGTTTGATTTTTGTTCTTTGCATACAAACCCTAATTTACTATCATGGTATTTGAAAGTGATAAAATGCGTA